GCCGCCGCAGCCGCCGCAGCCGCCATGGCCTCGCCGGCCGCCAGCCCCGACTCGTCGTGCCACGAGGGCCCGGCCTCGGCGGCCTCGGCGCCCGCGGGGACCCCGACCTCGGACTCGGAGAACCTGAGCCCCGACGAGCTGGAGCTGCTGGCCAAGCTGGAGGAGCAGAACCGGTCAGAGAGAGAGAGCGTGCCCTTGCTTTACCTTTTGGGGGGATTGGGCTGAAAATCCACCCATCTCACTTTTTGGGAGGGAGGGGAATAATTCTGGTTTTGGGGGGGATAGCTCTGTTTCCCGGGGCTCTTTTGGGGGAATCTCTCTCCTCCTTTGGGGTGGGTTTTGTGGGAATACTTCAGGGTTTGGGGGTTATTTTGGGGAACGTCTCCGTTTTTGGGGCTGTTTTGAGGGAATATCTCCGTTTTGGGGGCTACTGTGAGGGAACATCTTCATCTTTAGGGCTATTTTGGGAGAATATCTGCATTTTGGGGGCTGTTTGGGGGGAATATATCTCCATTCTAGGGAGGAATATCTCCATTTTTGGTGGAATATCTCCCATTTTTGGTGGACTATCTCAATTTCTGAGGAAATATTTCCATTTCTGGGGCCATGTTGAGGCAACATCTCTCTGTTCTGGGGCTGTTTTGAGGCAATATCTCCATTTCTGGGGTTGTTTTGGGGCAATATCTCCGTTTCTGGCCCCGTTTTGAGGCAGTATCTCCATTTCTGGCCCCGTTTTGAGTCAGTCTCTCTCTCTGTTTGGGGCTGCCCCGTCCCCCAGGCTGCTGGAGGCCGACTCCAAGTCGATGCGCTCCATGAACGGGTCCCGCCGGAACAGCGGCTCCTCGCTGGTCTCCAGCTCCTCGGCCTCCTCCAACCTGAGCCACCTGGAGGAGGACACCTGGATCCTCTGGGGCCGCATCGTCAACGAGTGGGACGAGTGGAGGAAGAAGAAGGAGAAACTGCTCAAGGTGCCCGCGCCAGGGGACGTGGGCTGGGCTGGGGTTACACTAAGGGGACTGTTTTGGGGTGGGATTCCACAAAGGGGACTGTTTTGGGGTGGGGTTACCCAAAGGGGACTGTTTTGGGCTGGGGTTACACAAAGGGGACTGTTTTGGGGTGGGGTTAC